GCCAGGGCTGCTGTGTATAAGCAAATGGAGGATTTTAAAGATTTTAAAGGGCTGGAGGGGGGGGCAGAGGTCTACGATAACCTGAGGCTGAAGCTGGAGGCGTGGAGGAGAGCGCTGGACCTGGTGCTGCTGGTGCTGCTGACCGACGCCGAGGTCATCACAGGAACCCAGAAACAGCCGGAGAACCTAATGCTGCTCTGAGAAATACAGGGAAACTCACCTTTTTATTCTATCCATGCTTGTTTTTATTTAAGCAGACATTGTGTTTTGAAATATGATTTTCACAGGAACCCAGAAACAGCAGGAGAACCTGATGCTGCTCTGAGAAATACCAGGAAACTCAGGGAAAATCAGGGAAAACTCACTTCTTTTTTCTCTTGATGCTTGTTTTTATTAACCCTATAATGCCAAATGTATCATATCTGATTCATATTTTGTCCAAAGGCCAAATAAGGAATTCAAACCAAAAAAAAAGTAATTTTCAGTTTTGTTTTATTCTTGGATCAGGCTTTAAAGGGTCTTTCTTAACGCTTCTCCCCAAAACTCACCTTATTTGAATCTTTTCTTACTTATTTTCTGCCACACGAGGGAGACACATGCATTTAAGAAAATCCAGGAAAGTCTCCCTCATCTGTAAGTAGTGGTGAAGTGGCTTTTTCTCCTCTCCAGATTTGGGATAAAACATTTTACCGCTTACTGTGGTCTAAAACTAGAGTTTTGTGCATCTTTTGAAGCACAATAGGAGCTTTGTTTTGTGCTTTTTGCTCTTTATAAAGAGTCTAAGCGACTAGGTTTGTGGATTATATCAGCAATGTGATGGTCAACAGCGGGGGGGGGTCCAGACTAAAGGCCAGGGCTGCTGTCTATCACCCAACGGAGGAATTTAAAGATTTTAAAGGGCTGGAGGGGGGGGGCAGAGGTCTACGATAACCTGAGGCTGAAGCTGGAGGCGTGGAGGAGAGCGCTGGACCTGGTGCTGCTGGTTCTGCTGACCGACGCCGAGGTCATCACAGGAACCCAGAAACAGCAGGAGAACCTGATGCTGCTCTGAGAAATACCGGGAAAACTCAGGGAAAATCAGGGAAAATTCAGGGAAAATTCAGGGAAAATGCACTTCTTTTTTCTCTTGATGCTTGTTTTTATGTAAGCAGACATTGTGTTTTGAAATATGATTTTCACAGGAACAGGCCAGAAACAGCAGGAGAACCTGCTGCTGCTCTGAGAAATACCGGGAAACTCACCTTTTTATTCTATCTATGCTTGTTTTTATGTAAGCAGATATTGTGTTTTCAAATATGATTTTCACAGGAACCCAGAAACAGCAGGAGAACCTGATGCTGCTCTGAGAAATACTGGAAAACTCAGGGAAAATCAGGGAAAATTCAGGGAAAACTCACTTTTTTTTTTCTATTGATGCTTGTTTTTATTAACCCTATAATGCCAAATGTGTCATATTTGATACGGTTTCTGAAATGTTTTGAGTCTGACACCTTTTGCATAATTTAATGGTAAAAAATTTGCTCAAAATCCTGTTGTACACAATCAGATACACCTGATAACAGGGGGCAGAAGATACACAAAAAATAATCTGGACTTATCACATAGTAATAAATTATTAATATTAAAAATGTATTTCTGTTTTTTCTTTTTACATATTCTGTTAAAAGGCCAAATAAGGAATTTGAACAAAAAAAAGTAAATTTCTGTTTTGTTTCATTCTTGGATCAGGCTTTAAAGGGTTAAACAGACATTGTGTTTTGAAATATGATTTTCTTTGTAGGTTACAATCTAAAATAAAGATGATGTCTTTCTTAATGCTTCTCCCCAATTCTCACCTCATTTGAATCTTATCTTTATTCTTTTCTGCCACATGAGGGAGACACAAGCATTCAAGAAAATCCAGGAAAGTCTCCCTCATCTGTAAGTGAGAGTGAAGTGGCTTTTTCTCCTCGCCAGACCTGGGATAAAACCTTTTATGCATCTTTTGAAGCACAATAGGAGCTTTGTTTTTATCTTTTTGCTCTTAATAACGTCTCTGTGTCCTAAAGGGAGCAGTCAAAAGTGTTTTGTGTGAATTACCTCCTGGACTCGTCAGGGTTTAGTCATCTGAATTGGACAAATTGAATGTATCCGAGTGTCTGTGTTTAAAGCTTTGCTCCAAATAAAGGACTACAGAGCAGTTTGTGCCGATCACTTTAAAAAACAAAAGCGCACAGCTCTTGGAAAATCAACCTGAGAGTGAAACAGCTTTTTCCTTTTGACTCGAGTCGTGTGTCAAAGGGGAGATTGGTCCTGTTTCCTTCTGAAACTACAGAAGAATCTGAAGGAGCCTTAATGAGTTTGAGTCATTAAGGTTAGAGACATTTCATCATCAGCGACTTCCTAAAATGAGGAACTTCTTTCCTTGCTTTCCTTGTCCTTTATTTAACCAGGAAAAGTCCCATTGAGATTAACAATCTCTTTTTTAAGGCAGTCCTGGCCAAGACAGAAAAGATTACATTACATATTACATTACAGTTTACAATTACATCTATCTATAATTAGAAATTCATAAAACAGTCACAAACCATAGATCTCATTTCCAAACCTTTGAGCGATCGTTTAAAATGTCCGATTGGAGTCAAATCCTTTAACTTCCAGTCTTTCTGAAAATCAGCTATCTGGGGATGGTCCATCATAATTTATATTTTAATTATAAAGCAAAATGGGTTTAAAAGCTAAACCGATGTAGGAATTCCTCCATCTAACAAATCTGTTCTCTAGCATTTCCAAATATTGTAGCTACGCTAGTCTTCAGACATCAAGAAATAAAGACAGCATGACTTCCACATCCTGGAGTTTGTAATTAAAATAAACTACATTGGAACTGTATTTAATCATTAGTGTACTATAACTTATTATTATTCCTATAACTTATCAGAGCTGCTTTCAGTCTCGTGACTGAACAAAAACACCTTCTGGATCAGCTAGACTAGTGCTTTATGTCCTTGTCTGCCTTTATGGTTTTTCAAAATGGCGGATCGCCATGGAAACCTTACCCCTCCTGTGTACGTACAGACAGGAAAAACTTTCTTATGAGGTCAAGTCAGACCACTGTAGATGCCATTTTACACCAAATGAGTACACATTTAGAAATTAAAACAATGATTTTAGCCAGTAAAATACAAAAAATACTGCACAATGTCCCTTTAAAATGGGAATTTTGACAGAGTGCCTGTTTGATCCTGTAGGAGCATCATTAGTTTGTTCACTTATGATGTTTATTCTATCTTATCTAAGATATCTGGCAGTTGTATAATTGAAAATAACCAGTTCTTTTTGGCCTTTCTGTTTCCTTAATGTCTGTTTTCTGATGATAAATGTAATATTGTGTCTACTCTGTAAGTCGCTTTGGATAAAATACATAAACATAAACCTAAAATACTACACAATGTTCCTTTAAAATGGGAATTTTGCCTGTTTGGTCCTGCAGGAGCATCAAAAGTCCTCAACCAGTTTTTTCACTTTTGATGGGAAAAAATTCGAGAATTTTGACAGAGTGGCTGTTTGGTCCTGCATCAATAGTTCTCCTC